CTCCGACACCCTCACTTTCTTCTCTTGGCAGGGCGTTTGTACCCTGATACGGTCGGTGCCGCCAAAGTCATTGAATGCGAAGACCTCATCAAGCTTCAGGAAGAGCGCCAAGAGGTCAGGCCACCCCCCGACGAGCCAGCTCTGTCCCTTGTAGCCAGACAGCCCATATTCACCGTCACCCCCTCTTGCCTTAATTGTGCTTTCCTTGGGCGACAGCCTGCGACTCAACTCGAACGAGCACGTTTCAAGGAGGAACAAACGGGTGAAGTGGCCGAGACCAAAGAGGGGGGCTTTCTCTGCTTTGGTGGGAAAAAGGTTTCTGCCGTGGATCACTTTCAATCCGAATTGGACAAGAAGAACAAAAAGGTACAGTCCGCCTTGGTCCCGCCTGTTGCTTTGACAACACAACATTCATGTGCTCACGGCCTCCGCCTGCCTGCCTGCCCTTCGCAGTTTGAGGAGCGACGTAAAGAGTATTTAAATCAGCGCAAGTTCCTCCCTGCTGGATTTGTTGTTTTCGACAGTCTGCGTAGTGCCACCCTGGCCGCTCAGGTAATTTTGTGATCGCAGCCACGTGGTGTGCGTTGATGCAGGTCAAAAGCCCTTCATGCAATTCTTGACATGTTTGTTCCACACGTCTTGTTTAACCAATCCTGCTGCCCAGTCCCTAGCCACGGCCAATTATGAAGTCTATACGACAACACAAGCCCCCGAGGCCAACGATGTAATCTGGAAAAATATTGGCATGAGTCGCAGCAAGCGTTCCTTCCGCCATCTCTTGGTCGTCATTGCCACCATCGCGTTGGTACGCTTCTGACTTTGAGCTGTAAACTCTCATCTTTTGCAGCCCCAGTTGGCCTTGTGCCTGGCATCTCAGCGCTTGCTACTCCTCCTATGGCGTTTAGATCTTTTTCTACATTATCCCCATCACATTCGTGGCGGGCCTAACCACGATTGAGAATCTGGAGACCATCTTTCCCGGCATCAACAGCCTAGGCCCCGTCGTCATTGGCATTCTTCAGGTGCGCGTGCACCGCCGGCCTCTTGACAATCGTCCAATCTGCATGAGCGCCGAGCTCTCCCACCAACTTAAACCAACCCTTGAACCTTCACTTTTGGTGCTTTTTTTTGCTCTTCAGGGTGTGCTTCCGACGCTCGCGCTGCTCATCTTCATGGCCCTGCTCCCCAAGCTGATGCGAGGTGAGTGTTGCTATTGGCGACGTTGCACCAATTGCAATCTTTGGCTCATGTTACAATGGCCCTGCGTGCCAACCATGCAGCCTTGTCCGTGTCCGAGGGCTTGGTAGCCCACAGCGAGGCCACCCTCTCAGCCCTCCAGAAGATGTACTACTTTCAAGTCTTCAATGTCTTTCTCCTCTCAATTGTTGCGGGCAGTCTTCTCACAATTGCCTCGGACATTGGCGACAATCCTTCGGGCATTGCCTCGGAGTTGGGCGAGTCCATTCCTCGCGTGGGCACCTTCTTTATCAACTACGTGATGATTCAAGGTAGGTCCTTCTGCTTGCAAAGCCGCTCATCTTGCATTGGCGTGCCTCACACCACGTCGTCTCTTGTGTTATCCCACAGCGTTTGTCAGCCACGCCCTGCTTCTTTCGCGCGTGACCTTTGTCGCTGTCCAGCGCTTGATGCGGGTATGTAGTCGCCTGCAAAGAGCGCGTCCCCCCTTTGCCCTGCCTCATGCCGTTGTGTGCATGGCCACAGAAAATCGGAAGCAAGTCCCAGCGTGAGCTCAACTACGCACGCAACCATCAGTACTATGACATTGTTCGCCCGGCTTCAGGTATACCGCTGGTCAACCATCACAAGACGGTCCCTCCTAGTCTCTGCGTTCGCCCATCAAAAGGGCTGTCTCACCCTCCTTGGGCTGTCGCTCTGTTGTGACCGTGCAGCTGCAATTCTTGTTTTCATCATCACGATTTGCTATTCGGTCATCGCCCCTCTGATTCTTCCCTTTGCCATCATCTACTTTGCCTTTGGCTACTTTGTACTGCGCTACATGTACTGTACGTCCAAACTCACACCCAAGCGACGACCCGAGTGAACCAGCACAACACCCGACCCCATGTTCACATCGTATATTGCTGGTAGATTATGTGTTTGTGCCCCTGACCGACAGCGGCGGCCTGATCTTCCCCATCATGACCAAGCAGCTTCTCAACGGCATTATCATCTCGCAGCTTGTCGTGGCTGCCGTGCTGGGTGTAAAAGAGGCCGTTATTGCCGTACGATACCCCGCATACTGCTGCTGGTGTCCGTCGGTCTGGGTGCTTCAGCAGAGATACAAATCCTGACCGCCTGTGCCTCTTCCCTTGTAGGCGCCTCTTATCGCCCCACTTGTCCTGTACTCGCTCTTGCATCGCTCGCACCTTAATGAGGTGAGGGGCCCAGCTCGCCCCCCCACAGACCTTTGCCGGGTTTGCATCTTTCTTTGATCATCTCATGTCTTTGCTGCCATTTTCCAATGCAGGCTTTTAGCTCCGTGGGCAAGTACTTGGCCGTCGAGACGGCAGTGGATCGTGATCGTCAATCCAACAATGCGGGTGACGAAACCGTCAACAGCTACGTGGATCCCAATTTGAAACGCCCCAACGACTACACGCCCGATCATCTCTTCCAGGAATTTGACAAGCCGCAAGACTTGAGTTTTCAGCCTGGTCTCAAGGACCAAGTATACCACATGACAGCCGCGAGTGCGGCGCGCGGTTCGGCAGCCCATCACCGCGACAGCAAGAAGAGTCAGGTTGATGATGCTCAAAAAGAGGACGAGCAGCTACCGTTAAACATGGGTTCGGCCTACTCGCCACCACCACAAACCTTGCAGCCCTCAGAGGTTGTCCTCAATTTGGAGGGCGCTGACGTTGACCGCTCGGACGATTCATTCTACCGCTCGGCTCAAGTGTAGCCACCTTGTTGCACCTCATGGTTCTTTTTGTGTAATTGACAAGTGGACATGTAATTGTATTGCATTCGGGGGCTGTGGCGAGAGATGGCCGTGTCTTGGCATGAATGTGCTTGCCTGCTCTTGGCTTGTCGGTCAATTAAACAGTCTGATTTTGGGGCAAGACTGCGTACCCATATTCCGATATTCCGGGGTGAAGCCCAGTGCTCGAACAATGGGTTCGCTTTGAACATGGTTGAATCTTCTGGAAACAGATGATTAAATCCAATCGGTAGGTGCAACGCAGCGCTGCCTGCTTGCAGCACCTTGTCCAGTCTACTGAGATGATGCTGGGGGACTGGGGGCACTGGTGGATTGGGCCAAGAATTGTGCGCGGCTTTCAGTAGCACCGTCTGCATAGCGGCCCAGCCAGTCTCCGGTGGAAAAATCAATATCAAATTCGTTTAGCTTGTACTGCCACGGCATGCGCTTGCGTTGAGCGTTGTTTGCTTCGTACACCTCGCGACGCCTGCAGGAGCGACAGCAGGCGTGAGCAGAGAGACATTGGTTGGCCTTCGGACGAATGAGTTTGAGCGAGGGGGCGCACCCACCAGGGCTCAAGAGGCTCCGCCCGTGCTTCGGAAGAGAGCCGGCTATTATAGGCCCATTGGCGGGCGCTGAGGACGACAACTGCCTGTTCGTCACCATCGGCAGCCTCGACCAGCTGTTCATCGACGGCCTGCATTTCTTCGATCGAAGGCAGCTGGAGCGTGCGATCAGCCCAGAGGGCTTTGAGCCAGAGACCCTGTCGATCAAAAAGGGGAAATGGCACAATCTGCAGCCATGGGCGAATTCGTTTCACATCAGCATGAGTCCGGGGGACGCGAAGAAGAAAAGAAACCTTTACCTGAGCAATGATCAAAACCAACAGTTTCACAGGAGTCACTATCCAGGGTGGGGCAGAGAACCGTGGTCTTGACCGACCTTGTAAGGGAGGCCGACCAAAGCCAGCGTGGGCTCGTGGATGGCGAGCATGTGCTGATAAAGGCCGCGAATCCGACGTGGGGGCACGGATTCCAGGCCATGTGCACCAAGGTCCAAGAACGGAAAATCAAAATGGTAACCCGTGGCCAAGATGAGAGTGTCGGCCTCGAGGTGCAGTCCATCGCTTGTGACAAGGGTCCCATCTTTGGCCACGGTGGTAATGGGAGCGGTTTCGCGGAGCTCAGGAACGTTGATGCGCGGGGTGGCATGGGCCAGGACAACGCTGGCAGCCACGCCGTGAAGCTCCTGAGCAATGTCACGCCCGCTCTGACCACCGCCCAGCACCACCACGTTGCGGCCGGCATGGGGCTCTGGAAAGCGGTAATTGTGACTGTGCAAAACGTGGCCGGTAAAGTTCTCCAAGCCCGGTATATGGGGCATGCGAGGCTTGGCATAGTGACCATTGGCCACCACGAGGGCATCAAAGCCATCGTGTGTGATGGCCGAGGCCTCTGCATCTACAGAGGCTGCCGTTGGTACCGTCTGAAGGACCCATTGCGCAGGGCCATGGGTCGGAGTCGTACGCCGAGCTTGCTGCACACGTTGCCCAAATTGAATCAACGAGTACAGGTCGTGATGCCGAGCGTACAGGTCCAGGTACTGCGGAGAGGGATTGGAGAATCAGCCGAAAAGCGATATCAGAGCGGCCAGTGTGCTGTTGACGCTCAGCAGTCGTCTCCATGATCACGGGGAGGACTTTGCGTACCTGCTGCACCTGCGCACGGTGGACAAAGGTGCGTTCAGTGGGTTGAAAGGGCAGGCCGGGAAAGGCCATGATCTGCTTGGGCAGGTTGGTGTG